TAGGCTGAAATTAAAAGACACTATACAGTAATTCTAAGCCATGCAAAGAAATAAAGAATACCAATTAAGGTAACTGATTAGGTAAATATGCAAGCCAGCAATATTGTATTTTTGATTTGTAATTCCTCTTTTCTTCCTTAAACTTCAAAAACAATAATTATAGGTCTATGGTAATGAATACAAATGTATAAGATGTAATTTGTAAAAACAATAATATAAAGTGGGAATGGATCTGTATAGGAGTAGAAATTTTAAATACAATTGAAGCAAAGTTAGTATTAATTGAAACTAGAGTGTTATGAACTTAAGAAGTTAATTGTGATCACCAGGGTGACAAGTAACAAAATAACTAAAATAAGTATAAAGAAATGAAAGATGAGAGAATTAAAATGATACACTTAAAAGATCAATTTAACATAAAAGAAAGTAGTAATGGAGAAGTTAAGGAACAAAAATATATAAGATATATAGAAAATAAACTGAAGTGGGAGAAGTCCTTTCTTATCAGGAATTATCTTAAATGTAAATAGACTAAATTATCCAATTAAAAGGTAGAGATTTGCAAAATGGATTAAAAACATTATTTAAAACATGATCTAACTATATGCTGTCTTCAAGAGATTCACTTTAAATTCAAAGTGAAAAAAATGAGAGGATAGAAAAAGATATTCCATGCAAATAGAAACCAAAGGAGAGCTGGTGTGGCTATACTAATAAAGACAAAACAGTCTTTAGGTCAACAACTGTTACAAGTAACAAAGAAGGACATTACATATTCATAAAACAGTCAATCCCTCAAGAATATATAACAGTTATAAACACATATATGCACCTAATAATAAAGCCCAAAATATATGAAGCAAAAATTGATGGAACTGAAGGGAGAAATAGACAGGTGATAGAACTGAAGGAGAAAATAGACAACTTTACAGTAATAGCTAGAGACTTCAATATCCCACTTTCTATAATGAATAGAATGATGAGGCAGAAGATCAATAAGA